AGTCAAAGTACTTTGTTTCATCATTAGAACCGCGGCATTTCAATTGTTCATTAAAACCACGAAAAATACATTCACCTTTACATATAGCCTAAAATAAACACTTTATTCAGAATTTATAAAATATCACTTATACTGTTTCATTTCGTTTATACCGTTTCATTCCATTTATACCGTTTCACTCCATTTATACCATTTCATACCATTCACCAATTCATATAGTTAGGTCGCTGCTTGGAGGAGAATTCTAGCGGCCGGCTTCCCTGGTCGATAGTTTTCCGGGGTTTCTTCGATCAGTAACACAATATTAAGCGGGCCATGCAACGAGCGCGATCTTTCTGTTCTCGTGGTCTATCCTCACATCTTAATTACATTCACATGAACTTTAGTGATACGCATATACTGTGACCAGTCGTAGCTTAGAACTTGTCTGGGGTGATATCTGGATGGAGAAACCCTGCAAGCCGACTTGTAGGTCGGGTTCGGATATCACCATCTAGCGGGACAAGCTTCCTCGCGTGATGAAAACACTTACGGAAATAATGAATATTGTCATCGACGCGACCTAAACACAAAATATTCCATCACCGAGAAGCAGAGCGGCTGTGGTGGTGGCGTCGACTGTGAGGGAGTGAAGCAATTTTGCCAGAGTAGAGAAATCTTGCCTCAAATGGATTTTTTTCGCTTGAGGAAAGAATAGGGAATTTGAATAAATGCGGAAAAGTTTAGAAATGTTACTTTTATTCAGAACCGCCCTAGGGGAATTATTATCTCACTACTCTTATGGATAAAAAGAAGAAACGATTGATAATTTCACCTATCATTTCGTATGTATTAAAAAGAGAAAAATGAACGAGAGGAACGTGTTTCTCTTATTAGACGTATTCATTCAACAATTCCGATAAAAACGATTTTTCACTTTAAAAACATGTCTGCTTAAATGCGAAATCAACCTTTCATTATTTTCTTATTAATACAGGGGGAATTCAGTCCCATACGTGCATGCTTTTCAATTAAATCAAATATAAAAATATTTATAAATTGGGCTCTGATCATTTTCAATGCAAGAAAAAAATGTATTTTAATATTCAATTATTTATAAACAGTATAATAAAAACTGCCTATTGTGTAAGAAAAAAGTATGTTACAACATGCAGAATATATCTTTAGCCTTAAATTTGAGAGATTTTGCGCCATTTGAATGACTATTTGAGAAAATTTCGTAGTAGTGGAGGGGAAAGAACTCGGAACACCTCTGGCAGCACGTGAGTGGAGGATATATAAAGATGCATGTTGAACAAAAGTATACTCAGTAGGTAATTGCAGAAGTGCTCATAGCGTCGTTCCAAAATAATGCCTTTCGTTCCAGGAAATTAAAACCCCTTTGAAAACGTGATATCCTATTTTAAACCATTTATCCCTATGCATTAGTCGGCTAGGCTTCGTTAGTGCATTCCTCATTTCTCACGATTCTAACTTATATTTAGACCAAATCCACATTTTGTTGGTCCTTGAATTGAACAAATTGTTTTATGGCGAAACATATATCCGTCCTTTTATCCGAGAGTCGGTCTTTCCACCTGCCTGTCGATCTTCAGACTCGGGAATTCGATACGTATACTTTGATATTTAAAGGTTCTTGATATAAATCAAATTCAAAATTTTCTTAAAAATGAATGGAAGAATTTTTAGATTAATTATTTTCTTGGTTAGCGTAAAAAAGCCTAAAAATGAACATGTTTTTTTTTTCTTTAAAAATCACAGAATTTTCGAAAATTTTTAAATTATAAAATATTTTTGGCGTCTTTTTAGATCTACAATATTGAAGAATGATATTCCTAAATGAAATCTCTTGTTTAAAGCCACATGTTAAAGTAAGGCAACCTACAAATTTTGCAACAAATTGTGAGTAGTTTTCACATAAATATGCGTGAAATATAACCGTGCGTGAAATGTAAGTTTTCAACAATTATTTTCTCAAAAACTGCTCCAATTTTTTCTTTATAATTTTCCCTCGCATATAGCAAGACAAGTAAGGACTTTTATACCGTTTACCGGAGGTAAATAACAGCAGTGTAGCCGTGTTCCACTAGCGCGCCTCCGCCCAATGCGCCAAGGAACCCGTCATGGGCACGCAGGGAGAGCTGCGGGCGAGGCTGCCCTTGCGGGAGCGGAGCTGGGCGGGGGGGGGGGGAAGCGCAAGGCAGTGCGAGTGGGAAGGTTTGGATGCTCGAGAAACGGACGCGCGCCGAGTATGAGGTTTGAGGCGGCAATGGGAAGTGGGAGAGTGTGGAGCGAGCGTCTGCCGCTGTGCGACCTGTAATGCCCCTCCTCTCCTCCTCTCTCCTTTTCCTCCAGTCACCGACGTAATCACTGCATCGCCAGCTCTGCGTCTCACAGTGCAGAGGAGCGGGCGATTTCGCAGGTCCGCTGTGCAAACGCCGTCAACGTAACGGTTGTCTCTGTCTCTTCTGCTGCCACCGCCAATACCAACCGTCGTAAACGCCGCTGCCAATATCACAACTCCCTTCGCTATTAATAAACTCCGAAACTCCGCCGTCACACTCACCACAAAAAATTCAGTCAACATCACCACCAACACTGCAGTCAACGCCACCACCAACACTGCAGTCAACGCCATCACCAACACGAGTCAACGTCAACACCAACACGGCAGTCAACACCATCACCAACACGAGTCAACGTCAACACCAACACTGCAGTCAACACCAATACCAACACTGCAGTTAACACCATCACTAACACTGTAGTCGTCATCCCACCACCACTACAGCCGACACTGACCAATAAAGTCGTCACCAACATATCCGCCCTTGACGGCATCGCCATTACCACTAACGCCGTCACCTCTACCACTATCATTGCCACCATCGCCAGAATCATTACTACCACCACCGCCACCACCACCACCACCGTGGCAGCCACCGCCAGCATGCCATAACAACATTTCTCACCCCATCGCAACTAGCTTTCACTGCGTGCATTTCCACCACAAACTCCACTGCTTCTTTTTTAATGTTTTGCAGACCTTCCTGTGACAATTACAATATATATTTATTTCACTCTCATTTCTTATTTTCTCAACTATTAGAAACATCCAATTACACTATCACTGCCACCTCCACAGTTGCTGAAAAAGAAGCGGATGTAAACGCAATACCCTCAGCAGTAGCAACAGCAACTGCGCCAGAGGGAACTTCTCTTCGTACACTCCACGAACAGCGAAGGTACGCAGAACTTAGGACGACCCAGTGAGCAAGAGAATCACGCAAGCGGATTGCCTGCATTGCGCTGCATACTGTTTCCATTTTAAATTTAGTATAAAGCAAAATTTCCATTATCGTGAAGAAATGTGTGCCATTTTTTACTCCCCAGATTTCTTGTCATTCATTTTGTTATAGTTTTGTACATCTGTTTATTTTTCGTACAGATGAAAATAATCGGAACCAAACTCGTCTTTCGCCCTTCGTGAATTAGAGAGGCATTTCTCATCCCGAAAGCCCTCACAGATCTTCCCATGAAATCGCGATTTAAGTATGTCATCGCTTCTCGTTGCGTGAGCATTACAAAGGGTTTTCATCAGAAACAATTTGTGATAATTCATTGTTTTGTGTTTGCAAGTGCGAAATAATTCATGGTGCTAAGGAATGTTTCGAGTGCCAGTTCTTTGATAACGAAGGCAGAGAAGTAGAATACAAGATCGTAGCAACTTTCAAAGCGGCTTGTAAAATACGTTTGTTAATATTTTGGGTGTCTAGAACGTATTAATATTACTTACATAATTTCTTTTAAGATATGTTGCTTCGCCTTATGTCTTGGTTTCACAAATTAAATAATCATTAAAACCTAAATTGTGCAATACCTGGAACTGTCAAATAGGAAAACTTTTTTCTGTATTTTCATTCCATTCCATCGATTCTTACAGTTTTCTGTAACCTATTTTTAATATACACTAAAAACAAATGAGCAGATTCTGATATAACGTATTTTTAATACATTTCGTGATGATGTCGACTAAGTCAAAAGATACGTACTATTAGCAATCATTCGAAAAACTGATGAGCTCTTAATATTGTCTAGCACATGTCAGTATTAAATAATTAAGGATTAGATTATAGGAATTGATTCATTTCCCTGCATCTAAGAAATAACTAAATAAATTGCGTCAAGTATTTTAAAAACATAAATATTTCTTTTTTATTCATTTTGTACCTGTTCCCGAGATCCTACTCCCATTTATTGACTATATATTAACGCAGGGGAAACTTCTGAACTGAATACAGCATCACGGCATTGTGCTAGTGGGCATGAACACGAATTTATTTTACTTCCTCACACGTACGCAGTGAGTGACGCTCATAATTTTGCTCCATATTTCATTTTCCTCAGTGGCAGTCTAAAAATACACCTCTGGATGAATAATATTCATATTTTGTTTTGTTTCTCCATTAAAGTTGTCTGCACGAAGGCACACATTTCATTCGTTCAACGAAGCATGAACAAGAATCAAAGGTTGCCTCATATTTTAAAATTTTTAATGGTGCTGACCATTGTCTTTCATATAATATAACTACGTAGAGAGATGACGTGTACGTATGTCACATGTTTAAACCTTTCTAAAGGTGTCCACTAGAGAGTAACTAGCGCGAGCGAGTCTCTGAGCAGCTCTCAGGGCCTTGTTCACCTGCAAGCAAGTGGCAGAAATTACCGTCTCTCAAGTGTGAACTCACAGCACTCTCAGCGCTTTCACACTCTCAAGAAACTCTCAAACTTCTGTTCACTGGTGAGCAGTCAGCTGACAAGAGTGAGTTAAAATTCGAGGGAAAAACTGTGGTGAAATACACGGCCGCGGCTTCGTAATTTGCAGCTTAATCCAACTAATTTGCAACTTCACTATCAATAATTTTCTAAATGCATGTTCTTATCACATTACAATTAGATTACATCAAAATAAATATGGTGCACCTTCTCCATAATTCCCATCTTGATCAGTTTTCTTGCCCTCAATCTTATCCATTAAATAAATGTTGAAATGATGTGTTGTTTCTGGCGATAAATGTAGCTTCACTGTGTGCGCGTTTTGTCGAGCTCTTCTTTTGTTCATTCCAAAAACATTTATCATTCGCTTAATCGGGCACTTAAAATTAAATTCATCCTCAAAAATTGCGCTGGTGGTATGCGCAAATTAAACGAGTCCATTTATTGCAAGTTTTATATTTTCTGCAACTTTTCCCCAAGTTGTTTTTTTCTTATGAGAGCCCCGCCCTACAGCTCTCAAGGAACGGCCGTCTGTGTAAAAGTCAAACCGGAGATGTGGGTTGCTATTTTGTTAGCAGTGTTAAAAATTCAAATCTGTTGTTAGTTTACCTATTCAAATAAGTTTTCTATAACTCAAAAGCAAAAATTTCCAGATTTTATATGTTGCTAAGCTCGCTTTGTGGGAACTTTTTTCATCATTTAACTAGGTGTCATAAAGGAGTGCCGAAGAGATATTGGAACTCAAGGAAATGTGTGGAATTTATATTTCTCCCCCATACGTCACACACTGTTTTACTGTTCTTTAAGGAATAAAGAATTAAGGAATAAATAAATTAAATTAAATCAGATTGATACATTAGTTAAATTGCGCCGATTAATATATACTAACTCACCGAGTAATATTTACTTTTTTCCCCATAATCTCAATCCTTGCCCATTCTGTTTCCGGACGGGTGATGATTTATTGCTCCCTCTGTTCTGGTAAAGGCATTTCAGGCCAGATCTTGACATGGTCTGAATTCCATCGAAAGAAAAATTGATAGAAGAATTAAATTACAAAATTTTAAAACAAAGAATATTGTAATTCATTACAGCAAAAATCAAGGATACATTATCTGAACATCAAAACTGATGCACATTTTCGGAATTATTATTAAACATTTCTTTTTTTAATAACAAAAATATAAATTGCATAGACGTTTATATAATTTAATTTAACAAAGTTGATTAATAGCTTTTTAAATTCATTTTTCAAATTTCATTTCATCGTTTAATTTTTTTTCAAATTGATAAATGGCATGCAAAATTCCATTACTACGTACATCATGCATGATTTAAGTTACTTCAGTAAAGTTTTATCAAATTTTATAAATAATTCATAGAAATATAGAGCAGTTTTCGCAGAAGTGCCATTTTCCAATTTGGCATAATAATTCGAATATTGTGGGGTACCCGATGTGTTCTAAAGATATGAACATCTTTTTTTCTTATTTCACATTAAATATTCTTGAGTTTTGAATCATATAAACTCAAAAACTAATGTAATTTGAAAATAATCCCATGTTCTTTGCCGTCTCAACACATAATGAGATTCGTGGCCTTCTCGAGTAGCATGCTCCAATTAACTGGTGACAACTGGCTGCTCTTCGACCGCAATTCGAATTCTGAGAGCATATACGTATCTACCCTCGCACGTGACTGTCCAATAGATGATGAATTTTACCTCCAGACGCGAATCACACCACCGACCGTTATGGATAAAGAAGCTGAATATTGATTAATGGTTAACAACTTTCTGTCGTGTCTTAGCTCGAGTTATGAATCCATATCTCACGACTCACAACAACTCTAGTTTCGAATCAAATGTCAATCCTTTGATATTATTCATGCGTATCTTTTATTGCTTAAAACATGTACGATAAGTAAGAATTCAGAGCCAGACCGTGTATAAATAATTTGTCTTGCATTACATGTGTATTTCTGCGAAATTATTCGCGAGTGAATATTTCGATTTTCCGGTCGCGTCACCTTCTTTGGACGTTTGTCCCATGGGTGTAGTGCATGTCGTAGCAAGGAGGTGTCGGCGTTCCTTCAGCGTTGGAACATGAGATAAGGCGCCGACCTAAACGTAACTTTGTGGGATACCCCTCTCCACCAGTGGGGTAGAACCCCAGTCGGAATACGCTCAAAACTCCTAACAGGTCTCCCGACATGTGAGTTGTGTAATACATGTACGTATGCGTCCAGGAGGAGACAAAGATAAGGAAGGAAAGATTTCACGCGGCGTGTTTGTTAGGGAACAGTTCCGTCAGCCGTCTGATATTGATCGAAGATACTACGTAAAATTACCATCAGAGCTACCGTCCACTAGAATTCTCCTCCAGGCAGTGGCTGAATTGGATGTGCCGGTATAGCAAGTGCCGTAAATCCGCCACAGTTGAGATTAACTCCAACACGTCCTGGCCAGATACTACTTTACAAGGGCAATTGTCATCCGGACATCAAAGACGAAGTACGTTAAATTTGAAATTGTTCATCTATTAACTACTGATTAAATTCTCATTATGTGAGAAACATTATTCACTGAGGTAGTCGTAGAATTTAATGTCTATGTCTAAGTTATTCATTCGTTCACTTCAGATCAAGAATTCTCGAAAACTGTTAATGGAAACTGAACGTGGTTCAGAAGTATATTTTCTTCAATCTGTGGCAAATGCCGAGGTCATTGGCTGTATCGATGACGTGGAATCGATCGTGACAGGTCGCGAGTCGGCGACGTCGTGGGCGCTCTCTGCCGGCCGTGTCGAGCGGCGGGAGGCTGAGGGTGGCGGCGGCGGCGGCGGTCGCCCCAATATAGAGGGC